TATACCAATATGGAGAAGCTTGGTCTCGCCCTCATCAACGCAGCTCAGAAGCTTCGACCTTACTTCCAGTCACATCAGGTGGTGGTTCTCACCAATTACCCTCTGAAGCAAATACTGAGAAGTCCCGAAACATCCGGACGATTAGCAAAATGGGCAATAAAGCTAAGTGAATATGGAGTGGAATTTAAACCCCGCCCAGCTATCAAAGCGCAAGTATTGGCAGATTTTCTAGTCGAAATGACTTCCATACAAGAAAGCACTTCTCTACCTACTTGGTCTGTCAACGTCGACGGATCTTCCATTAGCACAGGAGGGGGAGCGGGTATCGTACTAACGAATCCTGATGGAGATGAGTTTGAATACGCTCAATGATTCGAATTCACAGCCTCAAACAACGTTGCTGAATACGAAGCATTGATAGCGGGAATCCGCCTCGCCCTAGCAGCCGGAGCGCGCAAGCTCCTAATCCAAAGCGACTCTCAGTTCGTCGTTAACCAAGTACTCGGAGTGTACGAGGCCAAATAAGACACCATGGCCAAATACTTAGCTCTTGCACACACCCTCTTATCCAAGTTCGAGAGCTACGAGATAAGACAAGTACCCCGATCAAATAACATCCATGCTGACAAATTAGCCAGGCTAGGGTAGGGAGCTCCATGGCTAGCATCGGAAGTCGGAAGGTGACGCTTCTCACCTCACCTCAGCCGGAGATAACTTCACCCACTGAAGTACAGTACACCGAGGAGGATGAACCATGCTGGTTGACTCCAATCCTGAAGTATCTCAAAAAAGGAGAACTTCCAACGGATCCCACCGAAGCACGAAAATTAAAAACGAGAGCAGCTCGATTCGTCATAGTGGGAGAAGAGTTGTACAAACGAGGGTTCTCATTCCCCTATCTCAAGTGCCTCGACCCAACCACATCGGATTATGTACTTAGAGAAGTACACGAAGGCATCTGCGGCAATCACTTGAGCGGGAGGACCTTAGCTCTCAAACTATTGAGGCAGGGCTACTATTGGCCAACGATGCATGAAGATGCAAAAAGATTAGTCCGGAGGTGTAAGCCCTGCAAAGAGCATGCCAATATCACTCACATGCCAGCAGCGTTAATGCAACCAATTGACAGCCCCATCCCTTTCGCCCAATGGGGGATGGATTTAGTTGGACCATTCCCGCCCGCTACAGGAGGACGCAAATACCTCATTGTAGCAGTGGACTACTTCACCAAATGGGTGGAAGCTGAACCCTTAGCACGCATCCGAGAGGAAGAAGTCATCCAATTCCTATGGAAAAACATCGTGTGTCGCTTTGGAATCCCACGTTCCATTATCTCGGATAATGGAACCCAATTTTGCGGTGACAAAGTAAAAAATTGGTGCCTCGGCTTGGACATCAAGCAGTTCTTCACATCGGTAGCAAATCCACAAGCTAACGGCCAGACGGAGGTTACAAATCGCACCATCCTCCAACACCTTAAGACAAGGCTGGGAAGTGCCAAAGGAAAATGGGTGGAAGAATTGCCTAACGCCCTATAGGCTTATCGCACAACCCCACGCGCAGCAACCGGAGAGTCGCCTTTCAATCTAGCTTTCGGAACAGAAGCTATAGCACCCGTTAAAATAGGTGAACCATCTTGGAGAATCACCAACTATGATCCAGCAGCTAATGAAGAAGCTATGCGAGGAAGACTAGACCTTGTAGATGAGCTACGAGAGATTGCATACATCCGGCAACAGATGTACAAATCACGCATGGCCAAGGCATATAACTCAAAGGTCCGTCCCCGCTCCTTTCAAGTTGGGGATTTAGTCCTCCGGAAAGCTGAAGCCTCTCACCCCATTGGCAAGCTCGACCCAAAGTGGGAAGGACCATATAAAATCACAAAGGTGGTCAACACTGGAGCATATCGCCTCGAGAACATTGACGGACACCCTATACCCAGAACATGGAATATAGGGAACCTCAAACGGTTCTATGCATAAGGTATACATCTACCTTGCTTCAGATAAGTTAAGATCATCACCCATATTTCTTCAATATGAAAGTTATTTACGATTCATCACCCATGCAGACCCCACGACCTTCCACGTCACTCGTCTTGTAAGGCTGCTTCTACATGGTTGGAAATTTGACACCACATAACAAGGTGCGTTAAAGTTCCACCTAAGTTGGGGGGCTAGTAATTGTTACTTACATCCGAAATTTATAATCACATCCCATCGTATCCTTATAGGTCGAGAACCTACTACGAGAGGATGTATATATTCAATCAATGCGCTGCTTGATCGAAGACACTCCATGCCACATCGCCAAGGGTAACTATACTTCTACTAGAGTTCAACACACGGGTAATTTTATTTACGCTTACTAACGTGACAAAAAATCCCACTAGCAGGCATGATCGCATAGCAACTCGCAACAACTCACGAGTTCAGTTCATATCTTGGAGTGCGAGAAAGAAAAATCAACCCCCGTAGTAGGGTACGTGAAAAAGCAATACACATCACCATAGCTTCAATTACTAAATCCTCAATACAAGTGATTAAATAAATTCTCTTTTTCTCAATTGTACTTGACAGTCATAGAGATGCCAAAAGAAGTCAATCTAGCACAGTAAAACGAACGAGTACAAGGAAGACGTGGAAGATGAACAAGTATAATACAATCACTTACAAGAATTGCTATCGTCAGTTTATTTATTTCAGCAGTATTTATTTACCTTCGCATCACGCAGGCATATCGCATTAGCTATTTATTCACATTCGCCTCACATAGGCTTGTATCAATGCACTTTTGCTACCATTGAATTAATCAAATTTACTTTTGCTTTACTCTTGATGATACTACATCCACACAAATCACCTACTACCATGAGCTCAACTCAATAACCTTACAAACACTTAGAGAGATTTAGATAATCCATATAGTCTGGCCAGCTGGATTACCTAAGTCCCTTTAACTGTTTCACGAGGTGTTAATTTTAAAACGTGGCCACGGACGAATATATTTAAGACCTAAGCGGTCCGAACAAAGGGCACGACCCTTAACAAAAACCTTGGGAGACTGATCCCCTCCTCAAGTACATCGCGTATATGCTAATGTAAATACATATAAGCAACGCATTAATTCTTGACAATGTCAAAATAGATAAATCGAAATGTTAAACTTCAAAGTCAAACAAGGAAGAAACTCAAACGAAATTGTAGTGGACATACCCATCTACATCAGCGATAAAAATAAACTACGAAATCCATAAAAAAAAAACATATAAAAATAATAGCAATAAAATAAAAGGGGAAAGTTAACTATCCTAACAGATAAGTCTAAACTCCCCTACCACGAGCGGAAGACGCACCCACGGTGGAATCATCCGCAACCATATCATCCACGAGCTCTGTGCCCGTCCCATTGACATTTATCTCATCTTCTTCTTCATCGGATATGCCAGCTTCCATTCCACGAATCACTTTCTCGCTGATACCACCCGCATCGCGCAGATATTTGCGGCAAGCACGCACTAATGGCTTATAAACCACAGCCAATGCATGCTCCTCAATCATAGCAGTACACTCGTCACTACCTCGGAAGCTAGCCTTAGTTTCCTCCACGATGGACTCCCTATAAGCCACACACCTGATGTCGTGAGAAACCTCTTCCCCGTCGCTTTCTCAACTTCATATTTCTCTTTGAGCTGGTCGTAGCATTCGTTCAACTTATGAACATCATCCTTATACGCCTTCGCATCACCCCGGATAACCTCGAGCTCCTCTGTCCTCTCATCAAGCTCCTCTGTCCGCCGAGCAAGCTCTTCCGAGCGCAGAGCAAGATCGGACCACGCTACCTCCAACTGGCTTAGAAGTTCATCCTCACGCGCTTGACTTCGAGCCCTTTCCTCTACCTCCCTAGATTCCACACTCCTACCGTGCTCCATGAGATATCTCCAAGTCGCTACCAACTAAAAAAAAAAAAAAAAAAAATTTTACACAAGGAAGAGAGGGAGTAACATCTAATCTTGTTCTAAATAAACAAGGACTCACCCGACATATGTCCCCACCGGCTAACTCCAACATGTGAGAAGGACCCTTACCAGACATCCGAGCACGATCATACTCCCGAACGAATCCCTCAGTACTCAACATAGGCAGATCACGGTCCGACACATCCCAATACGACTCCTTACCATCGCGATTCACACCATAGGTAAACAATTGTTTCCCTCCCCCACCATGGAAAGCATAAGTCTCCTCTGGGTCTACCCGGGGACGCTTAGGCACAGCCACATACTCGGTATCCACCCTCTTTCCCTTGCCACGATCCCTCGTCGGGGGACGCCCCTCCACTTCACCAGCACTGCTACGGTCATCGGCGACTACTCGAGGACGTTCTACATGGACTTCCTCGCGAGGCAAACCGTTTGAAGAACCTCCCAACGAAGAGGGAACCTTCTTCGACGCCTTCTTCGACGTCCCATTCGCCTTAGCTCGAAGTGCCGCAAAGGTGATACCCCCATCTACAAAAGATTACAAACACATAAGAGACATGAGATATACACTACCAAAGAACTACCAAAAAAAAAAAAAAAAAAAAAAACACACAAGTCAAGGCAACAAAAAGATATACGGTGCTGACCCTTCGCCTTTGGTATCAAAACCCTCGGGTCAAATTCCACATCACACAATCCCGACTCTTCAATCCTTTTCGCCATATTCGCAGTTATCGTGAAACTCTCGCACGTAGGATTCCAAACTACGGGAACGTCAAAAGTGGGAGCCCTCACATAAAAAAAAATGGGTCTTCCATTTTCCCAAAGATAACTTCACACTCTTCACGAATTGGTAGGGAACACGAGGATGAAAACAAAAGAAAGGCGTCTTATTGGGCCGATGTAACGTAAATAACGCCTTGAACAAACTCACGGTCATAGGCAAACCCACTAGAGACACCCTATGGTGAAACGCCTCGAACTTAAGAACTGCAGTCGGAGTTAACTGACTGTACCCTATCTTGAATTCCTCACAAACCTTCAACAAGGTCGGATGCGGTGTAATCTGAGAGGTACACGTCAAGTACGCCAAAAACACCGTATGAAATCCATTGGGTGGCGAGTACAAACGGTCGCCCTTCCGAGGCAACAACAACTCCACATTACTCGGCGCTCCGGATAAACGACGAACAGAATGCAAATGATCTTCCGTCAATACACTATCAAAATTAACTAAGTCCAAATTAATTGGCTTATTTTTCTTTTGCCTCATCGTGTCAACCTCAACATCACCTGGCGGAATATCATCTTCCTCCTCCTTTTCTTCATCCGTCAGCTCAACTTCACTACTTGGCACCGCATGATCACTCGCCAAAGAAGCTTGATTCGAACCATCACTATCGCTCCCAAAATCCACGACTCGACGCCCATAGCGACGTCTACTGGAATCCGCTTCATCAACAGTAGGGCAAATATTAATATTATTACGCACTTCTACATCGTCACTCCACGATTCAATGATTTCTCGCCGACCAAAACTTCCCCCGTTTAAAACACCACGCGAATCAGCACCCCCGGAAAATTGCCCGTCAATTTCACCCGAAACGGACTCAAAACCGGGCTGTAACGCGCCCTCACGCGCGCGCGTGGCCCCAAAAGAGGCGGATCCACGCGCGCGCGCGTCACCTCCCTGCCCAGCGACACGTGCACCCCTCCCACAGGCCCCCGCGCGCGCGTCCGCTTCACCCAACCCACCAGACGCGCGCGCGCGTCTCTGCAAACCCCGCCCAATCACGCGCCCGCCGTCGCCACCTGGACCAATGGCGCGCGCGCGTCCACCCAACTCGCCAACCGACGCGCGCGCGCCTCTTTCTCTCTCCTCCACCGACGCGCGCGTGCGTCTATCGGGTGGCGTGCCCGACGCGCATCCCACCTCAGCTGCTGGCCCACGTGGCCTGCAGACCCTCCCTCTCTCCTCCTCGGTCCGGGTGCAAGCCGCCGGCTCCGCGGCTTCACTCGGCTTCCCACCCGCCTCGGAGTGCGCGCCCTCTCTCACACGCATCCGCCCGGCTGCTTGGCTCGAGCCAACGCCCGAAGCCAAGCTTGATACAATCCCCCTGTTATTTGCAACTCGTGAATTTCCTACTGCAGATCCAATTTCTACACCCGATAGTACAAGTTTATCGCGTTCCATACTCACCGTACCAAAAGTTTCCTCGCCCACTTCAACCGGATCTCGAAGTTTAATTCGCAAGGATTTTGACTTACCCGGATTCGACATGAGTAATAATTTTCTCCCAAGAAACAATCCAGAAAACAAAAAATTTCTACTCTACTGCAAAAAAATTTCAAAAGAAGAATAGCACATAAGAAGACTTAGAATAAAAAGTACATACCCATATTTATTTCGCAGGAGAGGAAGTTTATCTTTTTCTACCGCACAAGGAGTCTATTTATTTGGCCCTGGTATTTTATTTAAAACCCTTAAATATATACCGCGTTACCAAATAAATACAATTATTCCTTATTTAATTAAGGAATTAATTCACCAGCAACGGAAACAACGCAATTAACTCTCGACACGACCCGGATCCATCTACAAAAATCCCCGTCTCGAATCGAGAGTTGGGGGGCTTAATGATGTACCTAAACGGGCCGGCCCAATGGGCCCTCAAATTTATCTAATAATTAGGCCCTAATTAGGCCCAACACACGAAAGCCCAAACCCACACAAGTGGGCCCGTTACACGAAGCCCAAGCTCCTTTAAAGTAAGGCTTGGGCCCAACAAAGCAAGCCCAACCCATTCAACGATATATAAATAGATGTTTTACTCATTTGTAAAGGTACGTTCTAATCATTCACAATCAACCTCGAGTTTTATTCTCTCTACTATCTCTACGATCCGTACATCTGACTTGAGCGTCGGAGGGGTTTCCGCCGGATCAACCCCCGGCTTAGTTTACGTGTGCTCATTTTGTAGGGACCTCAGGATCATCGAGTTATCAAGCTATTGATCCGCTTTGCTCTCCCAGCTCATTTTCTACACCCCCTAGGTGAGCTATATTTTAGCATCATCATTTGGTTAAGGGTAAAAGTGAAATTTCAAAAATCAATAGTCAAATGTGCAAAGCCTTTTTGCTTTTAGGAAGTGTTGTGCCAAGACTTAAATGTTATCGAATATCATCAAAACGCTCGAAAGTATGTGTAATATTTCAAACTATAGGGGTCTACCGATAATTATACTTAACCTCGGGATAGATAGGTGCAATTTATTTATTTATTAGATGAATTAAGAGGAAGATTAAAAGGCTTTTCTTTTGATAAGATACTGCGTCTTTTATTTTCTGATTTGAATTGATGGATATTTATAGGGTAAATTCCACTTTACTCCCTCGTACTCTGCTTGAAAGTCACTTTACCCCCTGGTACTCTCAATTTTATCGATTTACCCCCTTGTACTTGTACAATTTCCCAATACAACCCTTTTCTTCATTTTTTGTCAATTTTTGACTCTAACGCCATTTGGTCAACTCTGTAAATTACAAAATTGTCATTGCCTATAACGCGTCGTTTCTGCTCCGTCAATATTGTCATTTCTTCTTCTCCCACCAGTTCCCCTTCCAAGATATCCCCAAATTGAACCCAACTTAGTAAAAATCAAGACCCAAAAATTGATCGATTCCACCCAGTGCAAGGAAAAAAAATATATGAATTTGTGAAACTTTCTCTTTTCTAATCTCGAGAGTCAAAATCGAAAAAATTCAATATTTACGTCAATATTTTGACTCTTGACCAAATGGCGTCAGAGTCAAAATCGAAAAAAGTTGATGAAAAGGGTTGTATTGGGAAATTGTACAAGTACAAGGGGGTAAATCGACGAAATTAAGAGTACGAGGGGGTAAAGTGGTTCTTGGGCAGAGTACAAGGGGGTTATTGGGAAATTGTCATTGCCTATTTATATATAGTTGTGATAACTGATAAGCATCGGCCGCCACGTGTAGTGCGTTTAATATGAACAAGTAATAGAGAGAGGCAGGCAATCTTTTGAGGTAGGGCCAAATATAATAATAATATATTTAGATAAATAATAATATAAAGCATCAATCAGCCACTTGTCAAATAATAGCTCATCTTTACGGTTTTATCTATCCTACACCCGGTGAAGGTTACACCGGGTGATTTTTCACCGTTGATCTACACACACCAATGTGGGTATGTGTGTGTTTGTGTGTATATTAATGGTAAAGATCTACCCGGTGTATTTCACCCGGTGTAGGATCTCAAAAGCCTTTATTTACCTCTCTCTCTTCTCTCTCTCTGCCCCTTCGCCATACCAACTTTTAGATAGCAGCAGAAATTCTCTATGTCAAGAAGGGTAATGGGAAGCTTGAATCCTCTATCCAAAGGTGATGATGCGGTTTTTTTTTTTTCTCAAATTTTGCAAGTGGAAAGGGTTTTGACGCATATGGATTCAAACAATTGGATTTTATTTATGTAAGCTTATTAATTCTTGTCTGATGTCATTTTGAATTTAAATATAGTATTTGTGATTGTGAATGAATATTTTTCTTTCGAAATAGTATTGGTGATTTTCTTTATTTTATCTAGTTGATTTGTATAGATTGGTGATTTCTGTCTCGGGGTTTTCTGGTTGATTTGCACCATGTACAGGGTGATTTTGGTCCTTTTAGACCGACCACAATTAGCAACTCAATTGCACAATTCGAGCCCCGGAATGGATGTCTCTGTCGGTGAGTAGTTATGCAGTTTGCGAAAATGATTGGATTTGCGGTTTACAAAAGGTCTAATCAGGCTCAATAAGTGGTGTATGAACAATATTGGTTGGTACAAAAATGCGGTTTCATACATGAATCATGATTTAAATTAAGCTGGTCCACTGGCTAAGGTGGAGTTAAGACAACCAAAGATTATTTATATTAAGCTGATAATATTAATATCCTCTAAGAGATCCAAACTTGTTTATGTTTCTTCCCTTTAAACATACATAGTTTTCCTTAGAAACATCGACTTGGTACGTTAAAAAGTATGTCGGGAAAATATGCATTCATCTAATTTTTTCAGGTGAAGATTATTCTACCACGTTTGTAGATATTGTTTTGTTTTTGTATGCAATGATAAAAGCAAAGCATATATCCCATCCCATATATGTTCAACCGTTAAAAACAGAGCGCAATATTTAATAGCAATATTTAACAAAAGCTCGAATACATAAGAGGGGTCAAGCAGCTTACACACCATGCAACAAATAAACAGGTAGGTACATATTCCTCTAGCACCTTTTATTTATACCTGCATGCATTCTTATGATTCGGCAGATATTTTATTTTTATTTTGCACATAAAAGTTTGAACGAGCTAGGTCCGGTGTTGTATGCCGCTTCTATTTGTCGTTTAGCCGTCTGCGGTAATGTTGAGATCTATCACCACCTTCTTTTTCTTAGCACACTTATTGCCTTCAACAATCTGTAATATGTAAAACAATTGTGTCTAATAAATATATATATATATATATAGATATATATATATATATATATATATATATATATATATATATATGCAGGGTTTCAACTTTATTAACCTCGTTGAAATGCTTTTTTTCTTCTTCCAGCATATTTTCCTGTTCACAGAATATAAGCTGTTGTAAGACTTATCTTACTTAACATGAACCAATTATCCGTAATAACATGCTCTAGCATCTAAGCTTTTATCGGTTTTCACACACACACACACACACACACACACACTGGAGAATACTCGAATACAACAATGTCCCTACAATATAATAGTGGCAAAAATAGATTTGCGAACCTTTTCCTGAAGGCTTGACTGAGCATCCGTCATTATTTTTGTCTGCATGAAGTTATAAATTCTGACATCACAATGTTGTATGAATGGAAATTAACGTTTAATATGTTTTTACAGGTTGACAAGAAACTGGAAAGAAGTCTACTAATGTTCAAGAGGTTCAAACATTCTTGCCACATAAGCTCATCAGCTCATCAAAAAGGTAAGCAAAAACTACCATATGAAATTTAACTTCTCTAGTTCATGAAATGACTCTCGAACAAACTTTACGAGATAAAAGCTAACATTATTAGCAGACAAACTGCTGGTCTGAATGAGGCATGATGAATTTTCTCTTAGGAGAATACTAGTCTAGATGCACTTTATATGTTTTGGGTCACTTTTTGTTTTCTTCAATTCATTGAGTAAAGAAATTAGTAGAATATACAAAGGGACTGTAAAATAATAGAGAGTGAAGATGAAACCTTAGTCGAACGTACATCCATTAATGCAGTCTCAACATGTTTCTGCAAGAGACCAAGGTCCGCCACACTTATCTTGTCAACATGTGGCTCCTTAAGTTCACTATGGCAAGAAATATAACTTGTGAGTAAACAACCCCGAAAGCGTTGCAACAAAAACAAAATTAAATTATTCTGAAATCGGGAGTTACCTTCCAACAGTTTTGAGAAGCTCACTATATGTAAGATAATCACCGTTTCTGGAGTACAGATCCTGCCAATCAATCAATCACCTTGTGAAATTAATGCCCTTATATGTAGATTAGTGTGCATATTTTGAAGAACTTCTTCTTTATTAAAACTATGTTCCCATCTCTTATAAAGGGAGTCGGCTCATTCTATAATACTATTACATTTCTGGCATTTCTATAATATTTCGTCTGACCAACCCTGCTGTTTCTATTTTAACATGGTGTCGAGTGTATCCAGAGAGAGTTGGAACATTTTGAAAATAGTCTCAAACCTAATTTGAAAGGGAGTGGCTAAAACAAATCCCGATTTTTTCTTACTTCAATACCAACAACATAAAAAATAAAAAATAAATTGATAATAAATAGGTAATGACAATATTACCCTTAATGAAAATCAATATCACACACAAAATTTGCGTGGCATTGTTTTTATTAAGGGTATTAACGTCATTACCTATTGATCTTTTTATTTTTCTATTAGTGGTATTGAAGTGAGAAAAAAACGGTATTTGTTTTAGCCGTTCCCAATTTGAAACCATAATTTCTGACTAGTCCTCTTCGTTTTGTGTCACTCTTGGTGTTGTCTTTTATGCGGTTAATCTTGTTATTACTATTCTTATTGCTCTGTCTTTTGTTACACTGCTATCAATTCTGCTACTTATTCATAGACTCTAGCTCGAGGGGAGTATTACGTAACTTAAGCATTTCCAACTGAAGGTGAACATTGGATGTTGGTGGTTGACTAAAATCGTTATGTGTTAGAAAATTAAGAGATCACATACCGAGAAAGAGAGCGAGCAAATGGCAAGAGATTCTAAACCATCTAGAAGTATCATGAGCACTAACAGAAAATCTTCTCTCATGTGACCAGATTTTGTAGGCATATATCATTAAACTAGATAATTTTGGAAAAAGGAACACTGGATCCAGAGCGAGAGTGAACGGTAACAAAGAGTGACATACAGAGCAATAGAATCGAGATAAATCATATATTAAAAACAACTAAATTAAAAAGAACAAAGAAAAGGAATTACAAATGAAAAATTAGACTCAAGGTACATTCGGATGGAAAGAATTTTATATCCATAGCTATCATTTTAAAGCAATTGTGGGGGATTTCAAATCTCTTCATTTGGACTTGTTTTAAATCCCCAAGTCCAGAGGGCCTAAGGCTCCATTTGGATGGAAGGATTTGATTTGTGGAAGAGATTTGAAACGACTATGATTTGTGTCATTTTAAATCAACACGAATGACCCAATTTATAACTAAAACGGAAGAGTCTTGATTTAAAATCCTTCATCAAATCCTTCATCAAATTTCTCAATCCAAACAAGTGCAAGAAATTTGTTATTATGGATTTGACACCCCTATCATCCAAACGGAGCTTAGAGACTTTACTTCAAACAAAAAATTGCCTTCCTACTTTAGTTCGAAGTAATGAATCACGTCCGTTTGTAGATTTATTTCTATTTGTGGAAGAATTATTAGGCCTCAAATATCACACGAGACCGATGACTACAAAAGTTCCAAACACTACATATCTCACAAGAATAAATATTACCAATCAAACTCATGTATTTATTAATATCACCAATCATGTAGTTATATGACAGCTGTGAAAGTTTAAGAACTTATCTTCCCTAAATGATAATTGATAGTATTTCAAATTTCAGTAATGATCCACATTTTGACAATATAACTCTCGAGTAAAACTTGTGTATTTAGTTTTTCTTTTTAGTTTTTTTACTTCCAAAATCCGTTGTTGAAGGCGTGAATCTTACCTCTGTATCGCAACCATCTTTCTCACTCTCGACTCGACTTTGATATTGTTGCAGGACATGGGCCATGCTGTTTAATAATAACAACAACAACAACAACAACAATAAACCTGAATGCTCATGCAAAAACAAAATAATACTGAGCTACAACCAAAAGAAGAATAAAAATGCAATTGGAATAAAGTTAAGGCAAGAAGAAATACAATGACCTTTCACTAAGAAACAAAATTTTATGCACTTTATCAAACAAGGAATATTGGAAAGCAGAAAATGACACATTCATAAATTGTTTTTGTAGTACATTCATTGCTTACAAACGTACAAAATGTTTTTGATCTTACATCACTAGTACATAGAATATCCATCTGTCCTTTTTCTGATTAAAATATAAAATAAAATTATATATGCTCGTATCTACGAAACTCTTAAAAAGTGACCAATCAACCAATAAGCAACATGAATTTTTTATTTGAACTCGTGTCTTAATCAAAAAGTGAGGTTTGTAATACTATTTTTTAAATATGAAATAATGTTAGAACATGCTTAAGAGAACAAGAAAAATCAAGGTGCAAACATAAATGCATGATAAGTCATGATCAAAAGAGGATTTGCCAGTTACGAGTAAGAACTTGTAGCCTATGTTAACTTGCAAGATCGAGTACAACAAGACACACTTTGCGTAAAGGGTCTTGAAATCAACCGTCCGAGACCATTTAATTCCTTAACTGGGGTTCTTTTTCTCGAATTTTTTTTCAAATTTAGTTTTGTAACGATCAATTGAAAGTTACCTAAATTTAATTATTATAGTCAAAATTTTAAAGTGAGATCATCAGAATTAAAAGAAAGTTCAATCGGAGGACCAAAACTTGGCTTTTGAGATCCTACACCGGGTGAAATACACCGGGTAGATCTTTACCATTAATATACACACAAACACACACACACCCACATTGGTGTGTGTAGATCAACGGTGAAAAATCACCCGGTGTAACTTTCACCGGGTGTAGGATAGATAAAACCCCAAAACTTGATAATATCCACATTGTGTGCTAAAAGATTTATCTTTTATTGAGGGTATAGTACTACGCATGCAACAGAACATATATTATTTAGGGCAAATTACTAAAACCCCCCTGAGGTAAGCCTAAATAACGAAAATCCCCCTCACGTTCTCGTAATTACGAAAACCCCCCTTGACTAACGGTTGACCGAATTTTTTTAACCGAAAACGTGAAATGTCTATTATATCCTTCTGTTAAATATGTAAAAAATAAAGGGCAAATTACCAAAACCCCCCTGAGGTAAGCCTACATAACGAAAATCCCCCCTGACATCCCTTTCACTTGATGATTTATTGCTTTTATAAATTTATTTATTACTTTGTAATTTGTATTGATAATTTGATATTATAATTTTTTTTATTTTTTTTATTTATATATTTTAATTGTTTTTATTTATCCAGAGGAGTATTCATGCGGATTTATACTTTTAGCTTGAATGATGCATGGTTGTATTTCTCGAATTGTAAAATATTTAATTTTATATATAAAAAATAATTAAATTTTGAAATCTCATCCATTGATTTTTTTAATCCAATAAAAATACATTGTACATTCATAATGATTGATTATATTTGGGTTTAATTTAAGAAAAATAAGTATTTTGTAGACAGTTATATATTTCATGAAGAATATATATTTATGACCCCCCTCATTAAATAAAATGTTTACAATTACCCCCCTAAGGGTAATTTCGTGTACAAGGGCAAAATTGGTATTATCGGAGGAATATTCGGGAGAATAAAAAAGATTCTATCGAGTTTAACACCGTTAGAGCGATTTGTAAGATGTATGCATACCTCAGGGGGGTTTTCGTAATTACGAGAACGTGGGGGGGATTTTCGTTATTTAGGCTTACCTCAGGGGGGTTTTGGTAATTTGCCCTATTATTTATGGTTAATAGTACTTATGCCTCTATAGTTTGAACTCTGTGCACATGAACTCCTTATATTTTCAACGCAGAACATGACAGCTCGTATGAAGCACATAATCCTCAAGAATGTATAAATTAAAATACATGTATTTTGGCAGGTGTTTCAAAAAAAAGAAATTAAAAATAACTGTTTGCTTGCAAACTATGCAACTTCATTATTTAACATTCAAAAATACCAAACACACCCTTAACTAACAGCTTGCTCTTATTGTCCTTCCCTATTTTTTAAAATTAATACAAGGTAAAAACAACTAAGAATTATCATAATAATTTCAAATGCTCCTTTATTATTTATTTTGAAATTATACTTTACATGGTAAAAAGAATAAAATAGTATTCTTATTATCTGAATAATAAATAAATTATATTTGTTGAATAACAATAATTTCTTACAAATAATAATATTATTATAAAATAATTTATCAAACGTTATACAAAGATGGAAAGTTATATGTGATTCAACAAAGCTTGTCATATAAGATGGCTCTCAAAGCACACGACTATTAACAAATACTAATATGAAACATTTTTTTTCCCAAGGAGTTAATATATCATTTTTTTTCAATGATTGAATGACAAACACTAATGTTGTGTAGGAGTGAGCATGAGTCGTTACGGCTCGGTTTTTGCAATGCAGCAAACACGTACAGTCAATATTGGTATTTCATATTTTAAGAACCCAATATGTCGGGTTTTTTTGGTTCAGTGGTAATCAGTTTCGGTGTCAATCCGGTTTATTTTCGGTATCAGTTTCGTCTATCGGTTTGGGTTAAAAAACGATATTTGATTTACAGTGAATTTGGACTTTTAATTAACAAATAACAACCCAGAGTTAATTAATAAAAAACATGTCACATGAAGGCATTCGAAGGATAAAGGCGCGTTAGGGGAAGACGGTAAATATTTATACTATATATCAAAACGACGTTGTTTTGTATAAATCGATTTGGTTCGGTTACTTTTTTATTCTCCAACACAAACCGATATTTTCGGTTTTTCAAAAAAAAATTACCGTATATGCAGTTTTAAGTTAAAACGGTGTGTATCGGTTCGGTATTTTTGCTTTTGGGTTTTTCGGTTTTTCGGATTTTTTGCTCATCCCTAATGTTGTGTGCCTTTAAAAACACACGTTTTCTGAAAAAATAAAAATAAAATCAAAATACATCATTATTATTATTATTATTATTATTATTATTATTATTATTATTATTATTATTATTATTATTATTATTATTATTATTATTATTATTATTATTATTATTATTATTATTATTATTATTATTATAAAAAAAAATTGAGAACCTGAGAGCAACTTCAATGAGAGGGAGATATCAAAATGAAGTATCAAACACTTAATTGATGCTTATGTAATACTTTGATACTTCAAAAAAATTATGTGTGCTCCTTCCTCATAGTTATCAAATAAATTATTATTTTTTTATGTTTGTAATATGTTGAGAGTGCAAAGTCAAGAACATTTTTTTAGGAATATTTAAGTCCTCTCGTTTTCTGAGTACATTACTTTTGCACCTCAAATTCCTCCAACATTAGGGGAGTACTTTTGAATTTTCAAGTACCAAAATAATAATTTTATTATCCGATCCCCTTATTAATTCCTCTCTATTGTAGTTGCTCTAAAAGATAATAAATTTGTTATTAAAATATCTCAAAAAGTTCTATTTTAGGAATTTGAGAACTAGGGTTTTGAAATTCCCACCAACCAACAATTTCAACTCTGCGTGTGTAAACAAAAAACAGAATTCAATAATTAAGGAAAAAATAAAAAAGATTAGGTGGTGTTAATTACCTATTGGCGCTACAATATTCATAAAGCTTTCCTCTCTTGGAGAAGAAAATGGCGGCCACGTCGACATTGCAGAGAACAGATAACTCCCTGGCTTTCTTAATCAGACCATTTCTTCTCTTCGAGAAACAAACCATCTGAGCACTGTTGTTTTCGATCTGCTTCATCTCGAGCTTTCTTCTCCCCATTTTCGCTAAACACACGGAAATCTATCTCTCTCTCGTTTTTTCTTTTTCTTTTCTAGAGAGAGAAAATAAAAAAATAATAAAATAAACCTTTTCTATATATTCTGTGGATAAAAAAGCAGCCGCCTTTTCTAGCCAGCAAATTCTTGTTTCTCACACAGTGTGTGTGTCTTCACTTATTAGAGGAGGAGTGGGGGAATCTGTATGGGAGGATAGTTGGAATCTTTATTTATTTATTTCTTTGAGTAAATTCAAGTTCATTATAAAGGGAATTAAGGGGATTCGAACTCTAAACATTTACCTTATTGGTAAACACTAGATACTAACTCTCGGTTGGTAGAATCTTTCTCTTTTTGTTTTTTTTTTTTTTTGAGTAATGGTGGAATCTTTCATCTTTGAGTCAACCGTGGGAGTAATTCTCGACTTTACTGTGACTTTTTACACAAAAAAGAAATAAATAATAATAATATATATATGTGCGATTACAAAACGTGTGTATATTAATTAAAAAATAATATAACATAAGATAAAAAAATAAAAAATATGTATATATATATAATAAAAGGAGTGTACACGTGTCGCTATGGGGGCGTATATACGAAGCAGACCCATGCTATGTTTCCCTTATCTCTGGCCCAATCCCTGTACGACAAGGAGACAAGTAGCTTAGCTATGATTGGCTCCCAATTCCAGAGGTACATTGAATGTTGAATACGAAAAAACAGCCCCCCCTCTTTTTTTTCTTTTTTTTTTTTTTTTTAATTTTCAACCAAAACTAGGAAAATCTCTGCTGTACCACAGCTGAAAACGTGTTACGTCATACGAAGTGGGCCCTAAATATTATTTGTAACACAACTCACCCATCGTCTAGCTCAATTCAATTTTTATTATTCTAGATTTAGGGGCTATATCTCTTTCACCAATAACCTCATTCCTTTAATATTTATTATAAATAAAAAAACATTCATGTATATGCCAATATTACACTCAATCATTTATATTCAATTCTTAATTGTAATCCCAACTTAATCAATTTTGTCCACAAAAATTCAATTTTGATCACAAAAATTCAATTTTGACTTTTTTTGGAGCATACTTTAATATACTCCAATTTCATCCTTAACTTAATTTAATCTCAATTTAACCCCAAATTTCACAAATTATTCAATTTTGACCCAATTTTTTTTTTCAAAAAAAAAAAATTTTGCCGCCGGATTACGGCGTTGACTTTTAAAAAAAAAAAAAAAATCTTTGTTTCGGATTTTTTCGCCGGTTTCTGGCGTTGAATTTTTTTTTTCCTTTTTTTCTTTTTTTTTTGTTCCGGATTTTTTCTCCGGTTTCCGGCGGTCTCCGGGTTGACTTTTTTTGTGTTTTTTTTAAGTTTTCTTTTCTTTTTTTTTTTCTTTTTGTTTGTTTTTTTTTTTTTTTTACGTCCGCCGCTAAACGTTAGCCGTAATTGTGCTGTCACTGACAGTAAATTATACTGTAATGATAGTTAATTAACGTAATTGTAATGCCGTTGACAATACATTTATGTAATTGTGCTGCCGTTGACAGTAAATTAATGTAATATTATTTTTTTTTCTTTTTTTTTTCTTTTTTTTTTTTGATTTGTTGACAAGTCAACGTAATTATATTGCTGTCGTTGACAGTAAAATAACTGTAAACACAATAATATTACTGTCAACAACATCAATATTATTATTTTTTTGGGTTTTTTGTTTTGTTTGAGTTATTCACGGAGTAACGTAATAATATTACTGTAAACACAATAATATTACTGTGGGTTGACAGTAATATTACTGTTGTTATAGTAATATAGTTGTCAACCACATCAATATTATTATTTTGTTTGGATTTTTTGTTTGTTTGAGTAACGTAATAATATTACTGTTTATTATTGTAATATTACTGTGGTTGACGGTAATATTACTGTTGTTATAGTAATACTACTGTCACTCACAGTAATATTAATTCTTTTTGTTTTTTTATTATGTTTACATTTGTTGAACGGTCAACATAGTAATATTATTCTATTACACAATAATAATGAGTTTTATTGTGTTAATATTACTGTGTTAGAGATAAATATAGCAATATTACTGTGTTAAACTGTAGTTTAGTTAATTTTACTGTATTTAACAGTAATATAGTTAATATTACTGTCAATCACAGCAATATTGCTGTTGAAACGAAAAAAAAAAAGTTACAGAAAGAAAGAAAAGAAGAAAAAAAAAACTTGTACTGTTCTGCCTTAAATCTTAATACCTTACAACTTTTAATTTAAAAGAATAATTAAATTATACAACTAAAAATATCTGTTGAAAAATGTCATATTTTAAAATTTAAATATACAATATCTTGTACTATTAAGTACATATTTTAATAAATAACATCTAATTATTATTGTACCGAATATATTCATATCGATAAATGTTAAGAAATCAGTAATCTTAAGTATTTTATTTTGGTACATTAATCTCTTAAAACATATTTTCATTCATTATTATACAATATATATTACCTTTTTTTTCTGAATAATTTAGTTTTAGTTACTTTTCAATATTTATGATCCAATAATTATTAGATTGTCATGTTTATTATTTTTTAATTTTAAAATATAAAATATTTGATGTTGAGGGATGTAAGTATTACAAATTATACTTTAAGAGGTAAGTGTTACATAGACTATAATTCAGGGGTGCAAAGTGTATTTAGCCCCGCTAAATAAAAGTCCAAGACCGGAGATTGGCGGTAGAAACAAAAAAAATATAAGTTTGAAAAAGAAAAGGTTAAAAATAGGATTTTTTTGGTCAAAATTGATAAAATTAAAATTATATTGGGGATAGAATTAAGAATTGAGTTTAAAACGTTGGGGTAATTTTTTCATACACATTAAGTTTGCATTTATTTATAAGGGCACTTTACAAATAACTTAATAAGTCCATCAAGGGGTACTTACTCATAAAATGGTCCACACAAAAAACTATTTTACAAAAAAGTCCACACATTGTACAGAGGTTTGTAAAAGACTAAAATACCCCTCATATTTTAATATAATCCAATTTCATCCTTTAATATCATTTAATATCAATTTGACCCCAAATTTCACAAATTATTCAATTTGACCCAAAACTCAATTTTAAGTACAATTTCGTCTGTCACCGCCGGTCTTCGATGTTGACTTTTTTTTTTCTTCTTCCTGATTTTTCTGCCGGTTCCTGACGTTTGCTTTTTCGATTTTTTTTTCTTTAACATCTTTTTGCCCCCGTATAAACAGCAATATTGCAGTGGTTGGCAATAATATTAACTATATTAATGTTAAACACAATAATATTAACTAATTAGTGTATATGTACCACAATATATTCGGTACAATAGTAGTATATATTAAATTTTCTATTATCATAAGTATGTCAGCCACCCCTAACCTATTTCTATTTAAATTGTATAGATTCCCTTTCTTACTATGTCCTAAAACTATGTTTAATTGTTGTACATGTTTATGAGGCAATGTTAAGTGTATATTTATACACTTAATTCTATCTTTTAATTGGAGCTTTTGATGTGTTTTTACGATAATTGGTGCTTAATTTGGTTATTATTTGTATTTTAGGTGCAAATTGAAGAATTGGCAACTTTTGGGGTGAAAACTGCAAATTCAGAGAAAAAGTGGGCCAAAAGTGAAAAAATCAGAAATCTGGAGAATCAAAGACTGCACGGCCGTGCGGATTTTAGTTCAAAATCTCACACGGCCGTCCGGATGGGCGTGATGGCGCAGTGAAGGAATTTTAATTACACAAGGAAACCCGCCCTATTATAGTTTTGCACCCTATTTAAAGGCCACAAGCACACAATTAGACCTATCTTGGATCTTTTTACCTTTCATCTTTATTTTAGTTTTTAGTTTTTATCTTTCGACACGCAATCAAGGAGCAAGAACGAAGACGAAGACTTGACGACTCTTCATCATAGTTCTCCTCTTTTATTGTTTTTATGATTTTTTGTATTTTTATTATGCTTTTCGTTACGAACATGAGTAGCTAAGTTTTTATTCTAGGATTTTATTGGAACCCTATGTGGTAATTCGAACCTATTTTTCTACTTTTATGCAAGTTTAATTCTTCGATTATTTCTTCTATCTTGATTTTATTTAGTGCATGAGCGTAGCTAACTTATGTTGCTATTTGTTATTGTTAGAATTGATTGACAGATCGTTTTAATAATTAGAACAGGGATAGGAGAGCCTTCGAGTAGTTTTTCACCGAATGCGTGTGTTGATTGCATGTATTATCGTAGACATACAGATAATACCTTAGGTAGCCGTTTGCGAGACTTGATATTTAATGTTTTATTTATACTAGGTTTGCATAGACATATAGTGAATCTTTTATGAATAATAGGTTTATAGCGCAGCGACAGCTGGTTATGAATAATTTCGTGTCTTGGGTTAATAATCGGGAATCGTAACTTGCATGATAGGAGATTAATCGGGTGAAGAATTATCGCATAGGGGGAAGATAAAATCCTAGATCCGTTTTATATTGATATTTTCTCGTGATTACTTGCTTTCTTAATTAGTTTAATTTATTTAGTTAATTAATTTGACAACCCTGCGTAGGCTGGATAAAAATCACAATTGTTAGGATTTGGTACTTAGGATTAAATAATTTGCGTATTCCCTGTGGGATCGACATCCGACTCTCACGAGTCTACTTTACTACTTGTTTGCGATACGTACACTTGCGTGTTGGTATTTAGCACCCAACAAGTTTTTGGCGCCGTTGCCGGGGAATACGGCTAAATTATTTATTTATCCTAATATTAAATTTGAACAATTTTTCTTACTTCAGCCAATTTTTTTTTTTTTTTTTTTTTTTCTATTTAATTTAATTATTTTTTTATTTTGTTTTAGGTACTTTTTATGCGAAGAGGACACGACACGAGCCTGCTACCTCTTGATCCCGAAATTGAGCGAACGTTTAGGCAAGCCAGGAGAAATCAACGGTTAGCCCAAAACAATCCGGCAACGATGGAGGACGAGAATAATCGTGGAGAAGGTGACCAAGGGCGCCTACCGAATGCGGCAGGGGAAATCGTCAACGAGCAAAACCAACGCCAGCTAATTAATCCACCACCGCGTCAACGAGCACTGCATGAGTACACCGTTCCAACGCTTAATGGGTTCCAATCAAGCATCCAGCAGCCCCCCATTGAAGCCAACAATTTCGAGATTCGAGCGGGACTCCTCACGATGCTCTCCAAAACAATGGTCTTTTCAGCGGATTGGCTCATGAAGATCCACATCTTCACTTGGTCAACTTCCTCGAAACGTGTGACTCGCACAAGATGAACGGAGTAACACCCGAAGCACTGCAACTCCGCCTGTTCAAGCACTCCCTACAAGGAGCAGCCAGGGAATGGTTACAAACTCGCGCACCGCACTCCATCTCGTCTTGGGCCCAGCTAGCGCAACTCTTCATGAACACATACAATTCCCCAACAAAAACTGAGAGAATCCGGCGAGAAATACAAAACTTCATACAAGAAGCCGGTGAAGCATTATTTGAGACGTGGGAGCGGTTCAAACAGTTAGTAAGGAGGTGCCCGAATCACGGACTACAAGAGTGGCGCCAACTGCAAATATTTTACGATGGACTGCAAGATAACTCGAGGACAGTGCTCGACTCTGCAGCTGGAGGTATGTTCATGAGTTTGACCTACGACGAAGCATACGAGCTCTTGGAACGAATCGCTAGGAACAAATACATGCGGGCATCGGACCGGTCGAATAGCGGAGCAGTCAAGACGGGTGGAATTTTGGAGCTAGATGGAGTCACCGCAATCACGGCCCAATTGGAGAAGCTATCGAAGCAAGTAGCGGCTTTGCAGACTCAGCAAGTCCACGCAGTCCAAGTTTCCGACCAGCGCGTAGAAGAAACGGAGTCTCTGAATTATGTGCATGACACCAATCGACAACAGAGGAACCCGTACTCCAACACTTACAATCCCGGATGGAAGGATCACCCTAATTTTGGGTGGGGAGGAAATCAGCAAGGACCAAGGCAAGCACCACCTCAAGGTCAACCGCCTAATTAATCACGACCAGCGCCCGGATTCCAAAATCCGCCTCAAGCTCAACCTCAAGGCGGAGATCTCGCAAATATCTTGGCGCAGTTCATGACAACCACCCAAGCCTCCATCCTAAACTTGGAAACACAGATGGGTCAACTTGCAACCCAACTAACAGCGAGGCCATCGGGAGCACTGCCATCAAACACGGAAGACCCTCGGAAGAACAACGTCGAGCAGTGCAACGCCGTGAGTTTAAGGAACGGGAGACAATTGGAGGAAGCCCCACGAAAAGAGAAGCAAAGCACGGTAATCGAGGAACCGAGCGTGATGGGGGAAAAAGAAGCAACTCACGAAGGACCACTATCATCTCCAGTGAAATCACGAGCCCCTCCAATTCCATATCCTCAGAAGCTTATAAAGAAGAAGCTCGATGCCGATTATCAAAGATTTTTGGACAAGCTGAAAGAAATCCAAATAAATATCCCGTTTATTGAAGCCCTTCAAAAGATGCCAAAGTGGGTGAAGTTCCTCAAGGATCTCGTGACGAAAAGGAAGAAATTGCAAGGGAACGAGATGATCCAACTCACGGAACAATGTAGTGCAATTCTGACACGGCCCCTTCCACAAAAACTCGGCGATCCAGGTAAGTTCACTATCCCTTGTACTATAGGAGGTAAAAATTTTAGATCGCTTATTGATTTGGGTGCTAGCATTAATCTTATGCCTTATTCCACTTACAAAAATCTTGGGTTAGGTGAGATTGAACCAACGGCTATAACTCTTCAATTAGCCGATTGGTTTACCCAAAAGGTATTTTAGAGAATGTGCTAGTAAAGGTGAACAAATTTATCTTCCCGGTTGATTTTGCTGTACTTGATATAGATGAAGATAAGGAGATACCTCTTATTTTGGGAAGGCCGTTTTTAGCCACGTCAAAAACTCTAATAGATTGTGCTAGTGGTGATCTTACAATGACGGTGCACGATCAAACGATCAAATTTAACGTTTTTAACGCTAATAAAAATCTACGTGATGATAATGATTGTTATGCTATTGCTCTTGTGGATTTTACAAATCATGACGATTTTGACGTTTTGATCTTAGACCATGGGAAAGGATCTTTGAGTGCAGGAGATGGTGGCGGAAAAGATAGTCAGACGGAGCAAGTTTATTGTGCGAGCCCAATTTTAACTCCGCCGAGAGACAGTCAAAAGAGTTGGGGTGCTAACGGTGATGAACGTGCAAGGAGGATGTGGCCACCTAAAAAATCAAACGAGCGTCATCGGGGAGAGGAATTCAATCGCCAAGTGACTTCGGTCACGATAGCTTGAACAAAGAAGCAGACAAAGTCCGGTTGAAGACTGTAAACTTAGCGCTTCTCGGGAGGCAACCCGAGCTTTCGTTTTTTTTTATTTTATTTTATGTCACTTTAATTTTTTAAGTTTTGCTTTTATTTCATTTTATAAAAAAAAAAAAAAAAAAAAAAAGTTTCAGGGGCACTAATAAGAAGTTTTTATTTTTCAGGGCCTTAAATGCAATTATTGAAACTTGTCAAACGGCCGTGCGGATAAAGACTTGGAATCTCGCACGGCCGTCCGAGAAGCGGACGATGCTACTGCCCAAAATCAGCATTTCACACGGCCGTGCGGATTTTAGGCCAAAATCTCGCACGGCCGTCCGAGATTCAAAGGGGCCACTGTACAAATTGACAGTTTGGCACGGCCGTGCGGATTTTAGGCCAAAATCCCGCACGGCCGTCCGAAGGGAAAAACGGGGCATTTTAAATAAGGGTTTTCAAAACCCCAATTTTCACAAATTCCAAACCCTCTTTCTCTCCACTTCGAACTCTCCCCCCTATTTTTAAATTTTTCGATTTTCTTGACAAATTTCACCAGAAATTCACCAATTGCACACACATAATACGTAAACTTAGTTGTTTGTTGCTAATTTGTGCAGGGGGTTTGATATACCTAAATAGGCCGGCCCAATGGGCCCCCAAATTTATCTACTAATTAGGCCCATTACACGAAAGCCCAAATACATTCAAAATAAGGCTTGGGCCCAACAAAGTAAGCCCAACCCGTTCAACGATATATAAATAGATAGTTTACTTATTCGTAGAGGTACGTTCTAATCATTCACAATCAACTACGAGTTTTATTCTCTCTACTATCTCTACGATCCGTACATCTGACTTGAGCGTCGGAGGGGTTTCCGCCGGATCAACCCCCGGCTTAGTTCACGTGTGCTTATTTTGTAGGGACCTCAGGATCATCGAGTTGACTAGCTACTGATCAGCTTTGCTCTTCCAGCTCGTTTCCTATACTATTCCGGTGAGCTATACTTTAGCATCATCATTTTGGCGCCGTCTGTGGGAACGATGCAAACCAGATCACGTAGCCAACAAGATCCTCCTGAGGCATCAGCTCGGAGAGAAAACGACACAGCTAATAACCTACCCGCCCGTGGAGGATCTGGCATCCCACCTCCTCCACGCACCGCGGAGCAACTTCCTCCACGTGCCACGGAGCCAGCTCCTCCACGTACTGCAGATCCACCTCGCGAGGTTCAGGTGATCCCCCCTCGGGACCCACCACTCGCCGATCCACCACTCCCTGCTCCTCGAACGGTTCAGATAACCGAGGACGCACTCCAACGTATGATAGCGGAAGCTTCTACTCGCGCCGCCACGGAGGCCGTAACTCAATATATCGCCACGATGGGAGCAAACGCTCCCAATGCGATACCAGCACAAGCTCCACCTATAGTACCACCAGTGGCCCCACCGCCGATCCAGAATCAAATAAGCGTCTCCTCCTCTACGTCGGACCCACGGTCCCGAGTGCAGCTATCTACTAATCACAGAGGAGCACTGCCTAGACAACAACGTCGGCGCTCACCCCTACGGGGGAATGCATCGCCACCAAGAATCCCTCTCTTTAATGAGGGAGAAGGCGAGGTAAACAGCCGAGTATCTCGCCAAAACCTTTTCTCCCAACCAAATAATCAAATGGGTGAGAGGATGCCTCTCCCAGCAAGACGCAGTCCCTTCACCATAGAGATCCTCAACGAGGTATTACCTCAAGGAGTAAAGATCTCGGGGTTACCTCAATTCGAAGGGACCACCGACCCACATGAACATATTGAGAAATTCAGTGCCATGGCGGATTTATACGGCCCGACGGATGCGGCGATGTGCAAGATGTTCCGCACCACTCTCTCCAAGAGGGCAATGAATTGGTTCAACTCCCTACCCATAGGGTCCATTGACACCTTCGCTCGGTTGTCGACCCGATTCACCAACCAATTCGCCATCAACAAACAATATGCCAAGACCCCAGCTCATCTTTTCTCTGTAGTACAGAGAGATAACGAAACGCTCCGCAACTACATTAAGCGTTTCGTAGAGGCCGTCCATGAAGTCCCCAGTGTGGGGCAAGACATGCTTTCCGGGATTATGCAGCAGAACTTGAAACCTGGTAGATTCAAAGAATCTATCGCCGGAAGACCCCCAGGCAACTTAGAGGAGTTGCTGAATCGAGCCGAAAAATACGTCCGGATAGAGGAAGCCTCTACCCATGCTCCTCTTAAAAGAAAAAGAGAAGATGACCGTCAGGACAATAGGAGGCGCGATGATCGACGTCCACCACTACCACCTCAAGGCCAACCCCCTTCCTCCTACAATAGGTTCACTCCGCTAAACGCTCGCCTCACGGAAATCCTTCACGTGATAGAGCAGAAAGGTTTAGCAGAACCTCCACGTCCTATGCAGCCAAACGCAAAGCGAGAAAAATCGGATCGTTATTGTCGATTCCATAAGGACAGAGGTCATACTACGGAAGAATGTGCACAACTCAAAATGGCGATTGAGAGGTTGATCAAACAGGGCCATTTAGGCGAATACATTGATAAGCCGCGAAATAAGCGCCGTGATGATCCTCCGCGCCGAGAGAACAATCGAGATCAACAACAAAGACGAGAGGATGGAGGTCATCGACGTGACCTAGATAACAACGACAACCAGCCTACCCGAGGAATCATTTCCTTTATCTCTGGAGGACCGGCGGGTGGCGATTCTCAAAATGCAAGACGCACCCTCGCTCGATCAGCACGCATGAATCAAGAACATGCTTCTCGTTCCGCACGCATATATCAAATACGAAGACCTGATCATAGCATAGTCTTCAACTCATCCGACCTCGAAGGTCCAGATGAAGACCATGTCGATGCATTGGTAGTAACAACAACGGTGGCCAACTTCTTGGTCAAGAAGATATTAGTGGACGGTGGAAGCTCAGCTGACATCATGTACCTCCACGCTTTTAAGCAGTTGGGCATAGATAATGCCCGGTTTAATCCCGTCTCCACACCCCTGAAAGGATTCACAGGGGAAGGCATCTTATCCATGGGAGAGGTAGAGCTGCCCGTCTCTTTAGGGGAAGACCCTTGTCGAATCACCAAGCTGATCAAATTCCTCATCGTCGACAAGCCATCTCCCTACAACATCATCTTAGGAAGGCCAGCCATCCATACATTCAAGTCCGTACCTTCCTCCTACCATCAGAAGTGGAAATTCCCTACTCCCTATGGAATGGGAGAGATACTTGGAGACAGACGTCTCGCCCGAGAGTGCTATGCAAGGGCCCTACGAGAACCTTCCAAGAAGCCTAAACCGCCCGGAAGGGGAGACGACACCCAAAAATCCGACAAACGGAAGTGGGTCAATGCGATCATTGAGGACAATAAAGAAATCCTCATCAGTGTACCAGACGATAGCATCAAGCTAGCAGCTGTTGAAGAGCTTAAACTCATAGAGCTCACCCCTGGAGATAGCTCCAAACTCCTACGCATTGGATCCGATTTAGATCCTGAGATCGAGAAGCATTTAGTTAAATTCTTGCGGCACAATGGAGATGTGTTCGCTTGGAAAGCCCAAGATTTGTCGGGCATTCCCCCTCAGGTAGCTCTGCACCGGCTCAACGTCGACAAACGATTGAAGCCAGTCAAACAAAGAAAACGGACATTCGGTCCCGAACGCAACAAGCATATCAAAGCGGAAGTGGCAAAACTCCTTGAAGCAGGCCTCATACGACCAGTTCAGTATCCTGAATGGTTGTCAAACCTGGTACTCGTTCCTAAGCCAGGCGGCAAGTGGAGACTATGCGTAGACTTCACCGACCTCAACAAAGCTTGTCCTAAGGATCCATTTCCTCTACCCAGAATCGATCAGCTCATCGATTCGACCTCGGGGTGCGAACTCCTCAGCTTCCTCGATGCATACCAAGGATATAACCAGATCTTACTTGCACCAGAAGATCAAGAGAGGGCTAGTTTCATCACTGACCAGGGCATCTACTGCTATCAAGTCATGCCCTTCGGGTTGAAAAACGCAGGAGCCACCTACCAGCGTCTAGTGAACAAAATGTTCGCAGATCAGATCGGTAAAAATATGGAGGTATACATCGACGATATGCTCGTCAAAAGTATTAAGGTCTCGGACCACATAACGGATCTGGAACAGTGTTTCACCACCTTGCGAAAATATAAGATGAAGCTCAACCCCCTCAAATGTTCATTCGGAGTTAGGGGAGGCAAATTTTTGGGTTATATGATTTCGCAGCGAGGAATCGAAGCTAATCCCGCTAAAATCGAAGCAATCACCTCCATGACTCCGCCAACATCGATCAAGAAAGTTCAACAACTCAACGGCTGTTTGGCATCCCTAAATAGATTCATTTCAAGATCAGCGGACAAAGCTCTCCCATTTTTCAAGATTTTAAGGGGAGGAAAAAAGTTCGAGTGGGATGAGGCATGTCAAAAAGCCTTCACTGAGCTAAAGTCATACCTCGCTTCACCACCCTTGCTCACAAAACCTCAGCCGGGAGACACACTCATGCTGTACTTAGCTACCTCGGCTGATGCCATCAGCGCGGTCCTCATCCGAGATGGAGGAAAAGGTCACCAACCCATATACTACATAAGTCGCGCTCTTCAAGGAGCCGAGCAACGCTATACCAATATGGAGAAGCTCGCTCTCGCCATCATCAACGCTGCCCGAAAGCTTCGACCTTACTTCCAGTCACATCAAGTAGTGGTTCTCACCAATTATCCACTGAAGCAAATACTAAGGAGTCCCGAAACGTCCGGACGATTAGCAAAATGGGCTATAGAGCTAAGTAAATACGGAGTAGAATTCAAACCCCGCCCAGCTATCAAAGCACAAATACTGGCTGACTTTCTAGTCGAAATGACCACAGTAGAAGAAAGCACCTCTCTACCTACTTGGTCCGTCAGCGTCGATGGATCTTCTACTACAACAGGAGGTGGAGCGGGCATCGTACTAACAAACCCCGACGGAGACGAATTCGAGTATGCTCAACGCTTCGAATTCACAGCCTCGAACAACGTCGCTGAGTACGAAGCACTGATAGCAGGAATCCGCCTCGCCCTGGCAGCCGGAGCGCGCAAGCTCCTAATCCAAAGCGATTCTCAGCTCGTCGTCAACCAAGTACTTGGAGCTTACGAGGCTAAAGAAGACACCATGGCCAAATACTTAGCTCTCGCGCACACTCTCTTATCTAAATTCGAGAGCTACGAGATAAGACAAGTACCTCGCTCCAATAACGTCCATGCTGACAAATTAGCTAGGCTTGGAAGCTCCATGGCTAGCATCGGAAGTCGGAAGGTCACGCTCCTCACCTCACCTCAGCCAGAGATAACTTCACCCACTGAAGTACAGTACACCGAGGAGGATGAACCATGCTGGTTCACTCCAATCCTGAAGTATCTCAAGAAGGGAGAACTTCCAGCGGATTTCACCGAAGCACGAAAGTTAAAAAAGAGAGCCGCTCGCTTCGTCATAGTGGGAGAAGAGTTATACAAACGAGGGTTCTCATTCCCTTACCTCAAGTGCCTCGACCCGACCACAGCGGATTACGTACTTAGAGAAGTACATGAAG